AAATTATTCATCTCGCAAAATTTGAAAAAAAGTATATTTCTTACAATCGATATTTTCGGGGATTTCTTTTCCACCCATAAGCACGGTTCATCGGTATACACCGCTCGATTCGATTGGCGATGGCCATGTAATGGGTACACCCTTACTCTCATATAATTCTGTAACGTGTTGTTATTATGTATTCACTAGTCGTTTCTTATTATTTGGGTCAAACTATGTAAAAAAAAAATATATATCAAATGCAAATTATTGCCACACACACGTCTGAAAATTCGATTTGTCGYATGTAGATGATATAACTTATTATAGTATACCAGTATTATTATTATTATTATTATTACCAATAATAATAATAACCATATTTATGTTATGCACACCCCTGTTGTAACCATTGCGCTTTCAAAATCCAACATTTTTATTTTTTAGTATTTTTTGTCTATTCCGGGCAGTGGTGCACGTGGATAATAATAATTTAGATTTTGTTTGAAACGAATTTTAATAATTTGTATATTTTATTCCTCCATTTTGTGTCGTCGCAAAAACCTAACCAACCTACGTCATTGTAATAATAATACTAGAACGTGCTACACCATAACTATAGATACCTATGTATTATTCAGTGAACATTTATGTAACTTCTAGTATTATAACACAAATTTATATTATTATAGTACGACAATAGTATTTGTTTTTAGGAAGATTTAAGATGAGTGCAAGATTCCATGATCGTTTTATTGATACAAGATTATTCAGTTTTAGGTATGGTTTAAAATATACATAAATATACTATATTGTATGTTTAACGTAAGTTTTAGGTTTCAAAATATAAGTTAGGGCATAAATATAATTTTATATCTCCAAAGTGTCCGTCTATTAGTTACCTACATAGTTACAACTATAAGTCACCCGAAGACACTATTTTTCTTACTATAAACATGCCTATAGTCAAATTTAAATAAGTAATTTTCATTATATTCACTCGATAGAATTTGGTTATTTTTCTAACTAAAAATGATTTAAGACTATTTTATTGACATTAAATAATTTCACAATAGAATCGGGTTTTATATAAATTAATAAATTAACATTTAARCGAATACTGATGTTTCTAAGAAAATGTTAAAAGTGAAATAGTTAGAAAAAAGACTACGTTTAAAAATTCTTGGAATTTATCTTACTAAGTATTTTAAGAGTGGTGAAATGAACTTCATTTATTAAAATGAGATACCTTCTTTTTATTTTAAATTTTATATTGGATAATTTTGTTGAAATRTTTATGTGCTTTATGTTTAAAATTCAAACGAGATTTTTCTGAGTTCAGTTTAAAATATTTTAGAAAATAAATAAAATGGAATATGTAATATTTTCTGTCATATTTACCTTACCCACTTGGCCCATTT